TCCCACCTTCAACCCCCGTCCAAGGGCAGAGCGTGGGCTCACAGGGTACAAAGATGTGGGCCCCCTCTGCTCCCGCCTCCGGGGAGTCCCCACTCGTCCAAGTCCTCAGCCTCCTCCCTCTGTCCCTTCACCCCCGCCGGTCCCCTCCCGGCTTCCGCAGCCTCTGCTCAGCCTCTGGGGGCAGCGGCGGCGGGGAGGACAGCCTGAGCCCCTCCAGCTGGCGGCGGGGGAAGCCCGTGGCCAGGGCGCCTCTGTCCCCGTGGGTGGAGGGAGAGGCTGGAAACTTTTGGGAGGGCTCCCTGTGAGGCAGCCCCTCACCCACCAAAGGGAGCTTTAGCCACGGGGACCAGAGCCTCCGCCGGACACTGCTGGACAAGGGGGCCCAGGCTTTGGGAGGGAGCAGAGTGGCTTCTCCCGGGCACCCTGAAAGCAAGGCGATTCCTAGCCTCCTGGTTACCCACCGAGACTCCGAAGTCCAAGTCCGGGAATGCACCTTGTTACAGAAGATCAGCCACCGACACCTCCCCTGCCCCAGTCCCCATCTGTTAAGTGGACATCACACACAGCCTCATAGGACTGGCTGAGTCTGACACAGGGTAGGCCTCAAAGGAAGTGTTTAATTCCATGAATAAATGAAGAGGCTGAGGAGGGGCTGGTCTCAGCCAAGGAGAAAGACATGGGTATTAGAAGCAAGAGCAGACCCCTATGCTGGTGGGAATGCAGACTGGTGCAGCCACTATGGAAAACAGTATGGAATTTCCTCCAAAAATTAGAAATCAAACTGACCCAGTGATCCCACTTCTAGGAATGTGTCCTAAGAATACAGAAACACCAATCAGAGAGAATATATATATATATATACCCCTGTGTTCAAAGCAGCACAATTCACCATAGCTAAGATCTGGAAACAGCCCAAGTGCCCATCAGCAGATGAGTGGATTAAAAAGGCCGTGGTACATTTACACCAGGGAATACTATGCAGCTGTAAAAAAGAAGGATCTTTCACCCTTTGAGACAGATGGAGGGACCTGGAGAGTATCATGCTAAGTGAAATAAGTCAGTCAGAGAAAGACAAGTATCACATGATCTCACTCATATGTGGAATCTAATGAACAAAATAAACCGCCAAACAAAATAGGTCCAGAGGTGAGGAAGCATGGCACAGACTGATGGATCTCAGAGGGAAGGGGGGGGGAGGTTGGGCAGAGAATAACCAAAGAATTTATATGCACACTAGAGGCCCAATGCATGAAATTTGTGCAGGGTCCCCTCAGCCCAGCCTGTGCCTCTTGCAACCCCTCGCTCCTAACTGCCCACCTGCTTGCTCCTTACCGCTTGGCTCACTGCTCCTTAGCACTGCCGCAGAGGCAGGAGAGGCTCCCGCCACCACTGCTGTGCTCGCCAGCCGTGAGCCCGGCTTCTGGCTGAGTGGTGCTCCAGCTGTGGGAGCGCACTGACCATCAGCGGGCAGCTCCTGCATTGAGCATTCTGGTCATTCTGCCTTAAGGGTTGCTGGGCTTTTATTATATAGACTAGAGGCCCAGTGCATGAAAATTCATGCACTCAGGACAGGGTCCCTCAGCCCAGCCTGCACCCTCTCACAGTCCTGGAGCCTTCAGGGGATGTCCAACTGATGGCATCCTCTGCAGGAGGTGACCGGGCAGGCTGATCAGGGGACAGCGCTGGCTGGTGAGTGGCCGGCCCTGCTCCCTCCCCCCGATCGCCTCTCCACCACTGCTGGTCACTGCCACCGCCTGCCCCCCATCACCCCTCCACTGCTGCTGGTTGCTGCCACTCCCCAATCGCTGTCCCGTCCCTCTGCCCACTGGCATGCACCTTGGCTGACCTGGTGCCTCCTGCTCGCCGGCCTTGTCCCCCACCAACTGGTCATTCTGCCACTCAGTTGATTTGCATATTAAGCTTTTATTATATAGGACTAGGGACCCAGTGCACCAATTTATGCACCTTGAAAGGAACTGTGGGCCGCAAGGCTGTGGTGGGCACAGGGGCGAGTCTCGGCCCATCCTCCATGCCCCAGCCCAGCCCCTCCCTTCATGGCCCTTGGCCCCCTCTCTGCCAGCAGCCCTGCTCTCGCTGCTGCCACTCCCATGCACTGATGGTGCCAGCCCCACTCATACCCGCTGATGGCAAGGAGCAATTGGGGCTGACGCCAGCAGTGGGTGCAAGTGTGGCTGGCGCCATTAGCAGGTGTTAGCGGCAGTTGCGGCCCCAATCACCCCTCAGGAGCAAGGGGAGGTGGAGAAGCCTTCAGGAGTGATCAGGGCCAGCAGCCGCCACTTACACCCACTGACAATGAAGAGCAATCAGGACCAGTGCCAGGTGCCGGCAGCAGGTGCGAGTGGCAGCTCCAGCACCAGCAGTGGGTGTGAGTGGGACCATTGCCGGCAGTGGGTGCAAGAGGCGACTGCCGGCCCCGATCGCCCCTCAGGAGCAGGGAGAGGTGGAGAAGCTCTGAGAGGCGATCGGGGCCGGCAGCCACCACTTGTACCCACTGATGGTGCTGAGCAATCGGGGCCAGCGCTGGGCACCGGCAGCAGTGCGAGCGGCAGCTCCAGCACTGGCAGTGGGTGTGAGCGCCAGGCAGGACCACAGGACACAGGAGCAAAGAATTTCAAGTAGCCATCAGAGGCTCGCCCCAATAACAGCGACCAGTGTCCCACCCTGGTCTGGCACCCTCACTCACCTGTTCCACCATCCCACCACGACCCACACCTGCCATGTTCTGTGGTCAGCACACATCATAGTGACCAGTTGTTCGGTTGTTCTGTCATTCAGTCTATTTGCATATTAGGGTTTTATATATATAGATATGCATAATCAATGGGCATAGACAATAGTGTGGTGAAGGCCTGTGGTGGGGTGGGAACTGGGTGGAGGAGGGCAATGGGGGAAAATGGGAGACATCTGTAATACTCTCAAAAACAAAGATTTAAAACAGGAGCAGACCTCTAAGATGTCTTGCTCTAATATGGAGATTCTGTAAGATGGGCAAGGGACCCCCACCCTTTGACGGCAATGGAGACTCGGGGAGACAATAGCTAAAGGCATCAATTGTTGACTGACCTCACTTCCTTTGCTGCAACCCACCAGAACCAAGGCACACCCAAATTTCAGTGTCAGGACAGACCCGTGTCCTGCAGCCAATAGGAAGTACTATAGGATTACAGTGTCTGCTCTTTCAGATTATAGCGGCCACTTGGCACTCTATTAGCTAGGGACACGAGCGTGTGGCCGCGCGGCCGTCTTTTATACCCACTCTCTCCCCTGCCCTGCCATGGCTTCTGATAAACCTCTCCCAGCCCCAGCCCACGGATCTCTGTCCTGGGACGTGGAAGTCGGGCTTTCCCAAGGGAAGCGTTCATTCTGAGACACACCCTGAGAACAGAAACATCACCGTGGACCGGAGCTGAGAGTCGCCAATGTGAGTCAGTGGGGGTGGGGGACTTTATCTGGAAACGGTCCATGAAATAGATAAAAGTAGAGCACTTTTGGAGGAGGAAGACAGGGCCGGATGGGGGATGGGCTGCTCATCAGTGCTGGAGTCTACACTCCCCACCCCCTCGGCCCCCAGGCATTGAGTCCTCTGGACACTGATTCATGCTCTTGGGAGCTTCTTGTGAAACTCATGGCTTCCACAGCACGCAGAGAGGCTGGGGCAGGCATCCCAGGAGGGACAGAGCTGGAGAAAACAGTGGAGGCTGAGCCCAATGAGGAAAGGGAAAAGGAATTGCAGACTGCGTCCAAGTCTACAAGAATTAATTACACAGAAGGACCAGCTGTTCCCCATAATCAGCGAGGACAGAACAAGAGGAAACAGGCCTGAAGGACTGAGATTTAAATTTAGATGCTCGGAAGGATTTCCCAGCAGCGTGAAGCAGAGGCCTGCTCCTGGGAAGAGTGTGTGGGTGAAACCTCAAGCGGATTCTCACCTATGGAAGGCAGGTGCCCCGGAGCTGGCACGAAGGCAGAGGAATGAACAACTTGATTTTTCAGGACCAGCGATGAGTGTTGAGTTTGAGTATCGCCTTTGCCACCCAGGCAGGGCCAACTCCCCGGTTTTCAACCTCTGTAGATGCAGGGCGCCCCATGCCATTTAATGCTCTGCTGCTGCCATCTTGAAATTCTTAATAATATGTTTGAACAAAGGGCAGCGTTTTCATTTTGTGCTGGGCCCCACGGATTACGTAGCCGGTTCTGCTCCAGGATGAGTGGGAAGGAAAAGCAGGGGAGGAAGTTAGCAGAGGGAGGGCAGAGTGGGAGATTTAGGTCAGACAGCCTAGGGATGCTCAGATGAGAGACATGAACAGAACAGGGTACCCGAGGAGGAAGAACCGCGTCTCCTTTGGGGGAGAAGGGAGGCAGATACCTGTGAAGTCCATGTTCCATCTCTTCCACACAGAGGGGGGAACCCCAGCTTTGTGGGCTGGATGCAGCTACGTTCTGCCTGGAGGAAGAAGTGGCCCCCTCCGTCTCCTGCAGCTCAGGGCAGGAGGTGCCACGGTGCCCTGGGTTCCAGGCCTGGATCCAGCTCTCTGGGCCTCAGTTGCTTCCTCTGACCACCGAGGTGTTTACACTGGAGAGTTGCAAAGATCCTTCCCAGCCTTGTATGATCTTCTTTGACTCTAAGATTTGGGAAACTACCCGGTCTTCAGGCCCTGTCACCACAGCTCAGTGTGGCTAGCGCTAAGGTTTGGGGAGGGTGTGGACAGCCCAGCACCTTAGGAAGAGGCTGGCAGACAGGGGCCCGATTGGGTGAGCCACCCAGTCACTTTCCTGCTCCTCTCCGGCTCCTCCAGGATGTCCTACAGGGCTCATCCGCTCCTGGCCCACCCCTGAGCCCTGGGATGACTCATCTCAGGATGGGGCCTCTTGAGGAAGGGCTGGCATGTCAGGGCAGGAGTCTGAGATTGCACGGTGCCCACACAATGCCTCGGGGTGGGTTGGCCTGCAGCCTGGGCTCTGATGAAATGCTGCTCCAGGACGGCCTCCTCCCTGAAGCCCAGCGACCTCTGGAATGTCCCTCCCCACAGGCCGCTCGCCTCCAGGCTCTGACTCTCCCCTACCCCACTGGTCCGCCGGAGAGGAGGGGAAGAGGCCACTTGGAGTTGGAGGCGCCATGTGTGCACATCAGCTCCCATACCTGTAAGGAAGGGCTGGTGATACCGCCTCTGCCAATTCTCAGAATAAAAACAAAACATCTGGGAGCGTCCTCTACCAGCTGACAACCCACACGGATGTTCGGTTTGTTCTGAGGGAGGGAGGCCCAGCTGTGGGACAGGAGAAAGAGCATGAAGCTAGAGTCAGGAGACCAGAGGTCTGGCTGTGTGACGGGGCCTCTGTTTCTTACCTGCTCAGAAATGCGGGCTGAATGGTGCCTCTCCTACTAAAAGCTGCCTGAGGGCCTTGTTATACAGATGAGCATGTCGCTACCACAGTGGACTTCGAAGTATGAAGCAGCCATTCTGAAAAAATATTCAAGGCATTCCTAATAAACACAGGGTAAGAATAAATAAATACATGAAATTCTCAAGGTTTCAGCTATTCATTTCTCGGACATTTACCTCGATAACCTAAGTAACGTTTACAATGCTATTTCCAGATGTTGTTCAGCTTTGTTGAAGTATAATTGATAAATAACATTGCAAGATATCTAAAGTATACATCACAATGACTTGATATACGTATACATTGCTGTTGTTAATCCTCACCTGAGGATTTTTCCCGTTGTTTTTCAGAGAGATTGGAAGGAAGGGAAGGCGGGAGGGAAGGAGGAAGAGGGGGAAGAGAGAGAAAGAGAGAGAAACATCCATAGGAGAGAGACACATTGACCCGTTGCCTCCTGCATGCTCCCGACTGGGGCTGGGGAGTGAACCTGCAACCCAAGTATGTGCCCTTGATCAGGAATTGAACCTGAGGCCCTTGGGTGGTTGGGCCATTCTCCTGACCACTGAACCACACCGGCCAGGGCTTGTGTGTGTGTGAACATTTAAGTACTACTCTCTAAGCTAATTTCAGTTATACAATACAGTGAGTCACCATGTTTTACATTACATTCTGAGATCTTATTCATCTTATAGCCGAAAGCTTGTACCCTTTTCACATTTCCTAGTTCCTCCATTCATCCACCCCCAGCTCCTGGCAACCATTTGTTTGTTTTGTTAATCCTCACCCGAGGATATTTTTCCATTGATTTTTAGAGAGAGTGGAAGGGATGGGGAGAGACAGAGAGAGAGAAGCATCGATGTGAGAGAGATATATCCATTGGTTGCCTTCTGCATGCACCCCGACCAGGGCGGGGGATTAAACCTGCAACCGAGGTACATACCGCCCACCGGAATCGAACCTGGGACCCTTCAGTCCTTGGGCCAACGCTCAATCCACTGAGCCAAACCATCTAGGGTGGCAACCATTTTTAAAAACTCTATTTCTATGGGTATGACTTTTTTTTACACTCCATATATAAGGGATACCATGTACTATTTGTCTTGCTGCTATTTATAGATTTTAAAACTTCATAATTTAGGTCATTTAGTTTCTCTTCCTCCTAATTATTTATTGTTATGTTGTTATTTTGTAATAATACCCCTTTAGTTCCTGTTCTATTAGGGTCACATGGTATCCCTTGACCCTTCCCTAATTAAGCATAGTGCCCCTCCCCGCCCCCACCCTTCCCTAGAGCTGCAATTTTGTGCAAAAAAGGAACATGTGCCAATTAGCTGAGGCACACAGTCCCCACTCAGGATGGTGGGATGCCTGCAGGGCCTGATGAGCACTTTGGATGGCACAGCAGTTCCTAGAGGCACCCAGACTTTTGTCCACTAAAGAAAAGCAGGGCCTGCGTTTGCTGGGGTGAGGGTGGCCCGCGTTGGCCGGCAGGGGTGTGGGGGTCTGGTAGGCTCCGGGGTGGTGCTGAACAGACCCTTGCAGCTTGGGGACAGAGTCTGAGGGGCTACGGGGACTATTCCCAATGGGGAGGGCTTGGCATTTGGACAGGATGAGGTTCCCCGGATTGAGGGCAGGTCCTGGCCCTGGCTGGGAGGCAGAGCCTTTGACCGAGGGGCAGCTGGCTGGGCGAGGCCAGAGGCCGGCGGGATTTCCTCTAGCTCCAGGCACTCGAGGGGTGGGACCAGCTTGCTGGAGCTGGACACAGGAACCTGCCTTTGTTTCCAGCTTGAGGGGAAATGCCATAATCCTGCCCACTTCCCACCCCGCCAGCACCCGTGCCCAGGCTCTGCCCTTCCCGGCACCAGAGGGCGCGGTACTGAGGGTCTACAGCATTCTCTTAACCTCCAGAGCCCCCCATCCACTGGCCTCTGTTCCTCATCCCCCGAAGGCAAATCCCTGGCCCGGGAGCAGGAGGCGGGTCAGATTTGGTGTCCAAGGCTGGTTTGGAGTAAATCGTCACAAAACAGCTTAGGTTTCAACCTGCTCACCTTTCTCCTCTTCCTCAGAGGGACCTGACTTTTCACAGCGGAAGACGGTACCTAGGCCTAAAGGGAGGACTTGTGGGCAGGCCTGGCCCTCCCCCAGCCCCCTCACTCCTGCTGCACGTGGTCAGACAGACTCTGACATGTCAACGGAAGTCACACAGGCGATGTGCTGAGTGGATGACCAGGGGAATGCAAAGTGTTGGGGAGCAGAGGGGACAGAAGGACAGGCTGGACCAGGAGCCCCAGGCAGTGGGCGGGGAGTGAGGGGGACCCTGTCTTTATTTTTTCCTGGTCAGTGAGTCTATGTGCTGTGTACCTGTGTGAGGGTTTAGGGGTGCTTGTGTGTGTGGCCTCTCTGGCTGTGACTATGAGTTCATGGGCCAATGGGCCTGTGTGTTCTTCTGTGCCAGGAGCCTGATGGTCCCTGTGGGACCCTGGCTGACCATGTGTCTACATGTGACACTGCCTGTGTCACTGTGGTCAAAGCCTCACAGTCCATCCAACCCCAAGCCTTACCCTCAAGTCCTCCCTTCAGATTTAGTATCTTCCTTAACCATGAAAAGGCTTGATCCCTCTGAGAAAGGGAGAGCAGCGAGCGAGTCTGAAAATCTGCATGAACCCTGGCCAGATGGGTTTCTCAGCATAGCTGGCTGACATCTGATAGGGCCGGCGAAGGGTCCTGAGAGATGGGGGTGAGGGAG